GCAGAGTTGTAGGACTCAGAATGAGCTTAGTCCTGGGACTTAAACTGAGGAGAACCAGACTAGCCTGAGTCATTGGTTATATGGCAGTAGCTCTGTAGCCCAACAACCAATATTTTTTCTGATATTCTATACAAGTGACCAAATTAAAATATTACAGGTACATGACAATGTTATTAGAGGTTGCATGGCTAAAATGCCACGTGTTGAATTGTTTAAAAAAAATGACAAAAATGTGTCCAATATGTTGATTCACAAACAGAACACTACACATGTTTTTTCTCAACTTAGAATGGGCTGCAGTTGGCTCCAAGAGAGACTTAACAGCTCAGCTGATCTCTTTTCATATCACAATTGTTTATTCTTTACTCAGTTCCCAAGGGGTTTCCTCTATTGTGTTCCAATAGCTGTATAAAGGTTGGAGAAACAAGCTATTTATTAGGTTAAGGATCACCAAGGTTACTTCCCCTCCCCCCGGAGAGCAAGCAGCTCAGATTACCCATCACTCAATTATATTTTTCAGGTATTTTACATGGACAAGTGGTGGGGTGTTTCAAATGCCAGTAACTGCCTATCTATACAGCAAGTGTCCATGTTACATAAACCTTCACCACAGCTGCCAACAAAACTGACCATCTCATCAGAAAGCCATTAACTGAACAGGCACAGAATCATAGAATATCAGGGTTGGAAGGGACCTCAGGAGGTCATCTAGTCCAACCCCCTGCTCAAAGCAGGACCAATTCCCAACTAAATCATCCCAGCCAGGGCTTTGTCAAGCCGGGCCTTAAAAACCTCCAAGGAAGGAGACTCCACCACCTCCCTAGGTAACGCATTCCAGTGCTTCACCACCCTCCTAGTGAAATAGTGTTTCCTAATATCCAGAGACTCAACCCAGTCTCTCCACTAGAGGTAGCCCTCCAGATCAAGAATGAGACATATTGAGGTAGCAGCAGAGGAAGCCTGAACTACTTTCTGTGTTATACTTGTTCTGTAGATACACAAGGGACTTCAGTTTCCAGAAAAGTTGATCTGGCATTTTTCTCAGGTACTAAATTCATATATTAAAGTAAATAATAATGATAACAGTTAATCATATACTTCTCAACATTGCAAGGGCACTAATAGGCCTGGACAAAAGCCTCCTGTGTCATTACCTAAAAAGCTTAATGAACTAGCATATGCTGCAAAAATTTGCAATAGCTCTGCCTTCTACAGAAACTCAACATCAGATCTAGCAAATAAACCTGCACATCCTCCCAAATGCCCACAAACCTCACAGTGGACAGCAACCACTTCTTACCAACAGTCCTCTACACGCTCTTTCGTTGAATAAAGGCATATGCATAATGCAGGCAAAATCTCGTTTTCCTGTTAAGTTTGAGGACTCATCCTATGTGCTTTCATAAAGCATTCAGGGCAGTAATGAAGAGCACAATTCACTTCAGGCCCAAGCCTGTTTCAGATCCTCTCTCTAGAGCCTAGTACCATAGAACAGCTCACTGGATTTTATTAAGCTTCTTTACCCGTAGTTCTATATTTTGGGCATTGACGTGAACTTTCATCTTGGCATATGAATAGCTGGAATGCCCTCCAACCCCTTTGCCATAACATTAGAGAGTTTTCACCATCAATAGGGGACATGCAGACAAGAGCTTAGTACACCCCCTTAGTACAGAATAGTCGATTATTTTTTGTCAAGGTCCAAATTTCTTGGTCAAGTTATAGTCAAGGTTCAGACTCCAGAGAAACATTTTCCACATGGCAATAACAATAATGATAATAATAAGTAACTAAAAAGATTTTGTGGTCCAAAAGCGTGTTGGTGGTCCAGATTTTACCCGCAGTCCAGCTGTTGACTACCCCTGCCCTCAATGAGGGCATCAAAATCATCAACACAGCTAGGCTTTGTTGAAGGCGTTTTCTCATCCTATGTTATGAAACCCACCAGTTCCTATGTCTGTGGCCCCAGCTCAGCAAAGCACTTAAACATATACTTAATTTTAAGCACATGTTTAAGTCCCCTTTAAGTCAATTAAATAATACTTTGACAAAAATTAATTAGTAAACATTATTTTCCTTATTTCTGTGCAATTACATTGTAGTTAGTGGAACTGAATGGATATAATGGATCAAACATATTAGTTCTGATAGTCACAGGGTTTTAAAAAAAAAAACAGAAAAATCTGGATTGGATTAAGATAGGAAACATGGAAAATTATTTACTTGAAATTATTTAAAAACCATGATGTGCAGACTCAGTTTCTTCAGTTCAGTACTCAAAAAGCTTCCTATGCCATATATCACACAGCATATCATCCTTTGGCTGCTTCCACATAATGAAAAATGTAATCGTGTATTCCTTAAATTTTTTTAAAACTGCTTTACAACAGCAATCATCTTTTTGTTTTTAATTCAGTATGACTATTTAATCTTGCAAAGCAAAATTTGTTCCATTTCTTCTCAGGAAAGCTGGCAAAACAGCATATTGTTCTGGCAAACAGCCACCATAAACGTCATAGAAGGACTCACTGAGCTTCTTAAAGGGACATGCCATCCTGGATTTAACAGGTTTGAAAATCACTGTAAATGTAAAACAATAAAAAATTAATTTTGAAAACAAGCAACACCATGGTAAAGTATGCCTTTAAAGAAGGCAGGGGATTCCTGCAGTGATATTCCATGGCTCCAAGCCAAAACAAATGCTGTAGTAATGTACCAGCCAGACTGAAAGATATGCCACAAGTTCGCCTTGAAGTTGTGATTAGGCTGTTTAGATTTTTTTTAAAACAAATGAACTGAAGGCCTATAAAGTATAACTATAAAGCATGATTTATTAAGCATAATTAAAAATTAGTTTTTAGTCAACCACAGGAATTGTCATGCATGCCCACTGTCTAGTTTAAGGTGACTTTGTTAAATTCCTGTGCAAGCCAGTAAAGATACATGGATCCTGTTTTGCTAGATTATGTTGTAAATCAACAGTTCACTGAAAGATTAAATATGAAAAGTAGTCTCTGAACTGTGCAGGTCAGTTTTGTCATCTACCTGTCACTCAAAGCCTATGCATCTTTTAGAATTTTCGATCCTACACAACGGTTTAGATTGGAAGGGAGCATTAGATTGTTTCTTTGATATGCTAATAATGATGTATTTTATAGTCATGTACATCAATCATATATAATCACTCATTAAGAGAGACTTTTCCAAAAGGTTATGATAGAGCCTAACAGGAGGGAAAATTTCCATTTGGGTAGTATGCGAAGAAGTGGGTTGTAGCCCACGAAAGCTTATGCTCTAATAAATTTGTTAGTCTCTAAGGTGCCACAAGTACTCCTGTTCTTTTTAGTAAGAACTTCGTTTATCTCATCTACCCATGCCATCAATTTCAGTTTTTCAGTGCTGCAAGGAATTTCTATTTAAATATTTACAAACTAACAAAGATTAAAAGAAATGTATAACTCTTGCAAACAGAAAACAGGAAAAGCATCTAAGAACATACTGGAAGTATCTCTATATAGCTCTAAAGTAAAGTAAGGACCTAATTTTCTATTGCTTAAGCTCATCAACGGGAATTTGGGTGCACAAGGAATTCAGGACTGGGCCTTTTGTGAAGACTTTGTATAGTATAGAGGCTACTTTTACATAGCTTCCTAGCAGAGGAGAAAACAAGGTCTGCCTTTTATTTATGAACAAGCTATACAGGCTCCTGATGACAATCCAACATTAGATGAACAGAGTACTAAATTAAGTAACCAATATTGTCCCCACACAATAGGCTCCTATAGTTTTATTGAGACCATAAAGCTTCTTAGAAAGACAAATGGCTCTTTCCTTTTTGAAAAACCCTCTTGGTTTGTAATGATATCTGTCCAGAAGAGGCTAGAGAAATCAATCATGGCAAGAAAAAATCATCTCCACGCTACATAAGAAAATAACCAGAGTGATAAGAAGACTACAAAATACAAGACTTTGGTTCTTATTCTTTTAGATAATTAAAATATTATTAACATGAAAAATCACTAGTTCCAATACAACATCCCAGAAATTAGAGAAAATCTTGGGAATCACATTAAATAAATATCATACTAAACAGTGAGAAACACTGGAGGAGATAAATGCAATGCACAAAGTGACAGACAAAAGGAATGTTTTCTGAATAGAAAACAGTCGCAGTCATAATTAAACAGACAAAAAGCTTAAGGACCATTTTTTATAGTGGGGATTATGCATCAGTTAGCTGCCTACGTCCTTCATATGAAGTTATCCTGAATTAGTGTTCCAGTGACTGTGAATCTCCAACATTTACATCTCCTACCAATAAACATGTATTTTGCATTTTAAACTTTATGGTTCCAACAACCACTTTCACTAGTTTACTGCAAATTTATATCTTAATTTCTCCCCCAAATCCATGCACAAACAAATCCATGCAGCCTTTCTCCGCACAGGCACACGTGAAACAGACGAGCCTGGAAGAGATAGGGAATGGAGGAACTTGACACATCTGCCATTGCACTTCACACAGGAAATGTATACATCCAAGCCTGCAGTTCCAGGTTACTTCATGCCATAAGAAACAGTTTCATCAACATATTTAAAAAAAACAAAACGAGAAAAGCAATGCAGCTATTTAACCCTCTGCCTACGATGAAGGGCTGACACTTAAAGAATATTCATCAAATAGGCTCATTTAGAGTTTAAAAAAAAAATCTCCAACAGCTTGTGTACCAAAAAAAAAAAAAACCCCAAACCAAAAAACGGAAGCGTATCGTGATAATGAGCAGAACAGCCGCGGAGGCGAACCCAAGCAGCTCATTCTCCATCCACCTTTCTACCTGCTACCCCAGCAGAGACGGTCGCGGGGATGGAAACCCAGCAAATGATCAGCAGCAGCAGCAGCAGCAGGCGACTCCGCCTCCGACAAGCGCAGCGAGCAGGGTGCACACACCCCAATCCCCCTACCTCGCACGCACACACCCTGCAGCCCCCTTTCAACTTACCACCAGCAGCGGCTGCAGACGGGATCCTGGGCGGGGGGCCTGCCAGCCAAACTGCACGTTGAGGACGAATATTCCTGCAGGGCCCCTCCTTGTCCAGGCAGCGGCACCTCCCTCCCCTCCAGCAGCCTCCGGGTCTGGGAAGGGGGCGGACCGCAGCGAGGCGAGGCTGCGGGAGTCATGCAGTCCTTGCAGCAGGCAGCTGCTGCCGCTTAACCTGCCACTTTCCTCTCCCCCACCCGCCGCAGCAGGCTCAATCCCCCCCACCCGCCGCAGCAGGCTCAATCCCCCCCTCCCGCCGCGCTGCGCCCCGGCACCTTGTCTTTCCAACACAACAACCAACAATGGGGATAATGAGCGGTCCTGGGGGCTGGCCCGGCCCCTCCTCTCCCCGCCCCCCACCTCCTCAAAGGGTTGAGTCAGCAGCTGCACGGGGGGGGGACCCGCGGTGCCCTCTGCAGCCCGGGGTGGGGGGGGCAGCGCTGTCTATTGGCGCCGGGGGCAGGGAGCAGGGTCACTGACTCCTGAGCTCTCCCAGCCGCAGCACAGCCCAGGGCTGGGCCGTCCATGGGGGAATGGGGCGGGGGGTGTCACTCCCGCCAGCTGCGCCTTGCCCGCGGGCGGGAAGAACACCACAGCCGCCCAGCCTGCCCTGCCAGCTGCTGCCCGGGCACGGCGGGGCCTCGGGGCCTCTCCGCCCCCCGCCGCATCAGAGCCTGGCAAGGTGCTGGAAGGAACTGTGGGTAGCTCCAGCTGCTTGCTCCCCGCTCTCCCCTGCAGCGGGCTCCGTCGTGGCAGCCTGGCCGTGGGTCCCAGGCACTGGGCGCTCCCCGCTGCAGGACCCGGGGCAGATGTTCACACACACCCCGCAGCATTTGGGTCCCTCGATGCGCCGTGCTGCAGGGGGTCCATCATCAGGACTGTAAGAGCCTTCAGTCCCTTTCTAGCCCCCCTCCTGGGGCGAGGGGGGATTGGTTAGGGGGGTGACTTCAAAAGGACCAGTGGGGAAAACGGCAATCATAACAACTCACCTGCCACTGGTCTTCAAGTTAACCAGTCTCAAAAGCTGACACTTGCCAAGTGATTATACCCCAAATGAGGCTTTTCTCCACCACCACCACCCCCAGGACGTGAACATGATAATAATGAGCCCCAACTATGAAATCACCAATTGCAAATTTAGCAAGCACTTTGGCAACCATTTGGAGCTGGCCCCATCTTTTTTGTTCAGTGTACAGCAGGACTCTGGTCCAGGGCTAGTTCCCCACAGAATTTCAGAAGGCAAGGTAATGCAGGTGCTCCTTTTTTATATTAGCTTAAGAAAAAGCATCTGTTTAAAAAAATCAGGTTTCTGTCTGAAAGGTTTTACCCAGTGTTGTTACTACCAGTAACACCTATCCTTCATATCAATTAAAGAGGATCATCTCTATTTTTCTTCCAATTGGTTACTTTGTGTATTTAACAGCACTGAAGGTATAGCCACTTTCACTGTTTCCTCTTTAGTCATTTTCCCCTGTTCTTTGTAGTGGTCTTTCATACTGCACTACAGGAGAGAAAAATATTTTTAAATAGGAAAATGTGATTGTAAAACCACAAAAATTTCCAAAGTAATACCTACAAATGTTTTAACCTTTCAAAATAATTGATTTTTATATTTCAAATTGAAAGGTATCGCTTTTACTGTTTGTGAAGGGTTGCTGAGGTAGTAAGAATTAGAATGATTGTTTTCTGGATGTGTACCATCCAATGACAGAGTATCAGTGCGGTTACAGGGTGGGAGTTTTGTCTAGTGGATGATGGAATGGGTCTGGGGGTTAGAGCTTCTGTTCTGAGTTCTATTTTCAGCTCAGTGACTGACTCACTTTGTGACCCTGAGCAAGTCATTTAACTTCTCTGTAGCTTAGTTTCCCCATTTATAAAGTGGGTATTATAATAGCTACTTATCTCACAGAAATATTGAGAGGCTTAATATTTGTAAAGCACTTCTAGATCCTCAGGTGAATGGTGTTATAGAAACACTAAATATTATTTTATCATAAAACTACAGCAAGTACATGAAGAATAGTTACCTTTGAAATTAAGTCTTAGTCCTGTCTAACTCACACTCCCTGGTACTTTTCATAAAGGGATTGCCAAAATGTCTCTTTTCCCTGTTGTTGTGTTCCCTACACTATAAAGGTGACTGCACTTCAGTGTCTATAGTATGGTAGTGTGCTTATGTATTAAAGTGAAACATATTACATGTCTTAGATAGACAAAAAGAGCTGCTGACTTCCTCCATTAGAAGTCAGTCCTCTCTTTCTTCTGTTCCTGACTGAGAAATCCTACCTCTTTCTCAACACCTCTTCATCATTTTGATTATCCAATTTAAGCCATCTTCCTCTTCCACCTAGTCTCTCCTGCTTGAATCCTTCCTCTCCTAGCCTGCCCACCCATCTGGGATCTTGTTAACTTCTTTTAAAAGAAAATGGGCAGGAGCTCTCACTCTCCATCTTTCCTCCTGACCTCCTCAGATTTTGTTCTCTGAACCCTGTGTCCTACTCTGAGATCTCCAATCTTCTATCCTCTTCAAACCGTTTGATTGTCAACCTGAACCTATTTCCTTACACCTGCTAATCTCCATTTTTGTCCCCCCCTAATTCATTTCCGGTCTCTTATGAGTCACTCTCTTCTCTTCCCATATATATTCAAACATGCCATTTCTCCTCTCCCAAAGACAGCCAACCTCAACCCCAATTCTTTATCACCCACATCTCCCTCCTTCTCTTGATCTCAAAGCTTCTTGATGGGCCTGCCTGGCCCTAGTGCCTGTGTTATTCTCTCTGTCTAAGCAGAGTATATGGTAATACATGCTTTACATACTAATTGTACAGTCAGGAATTCAGATGCTGTCATTTGGGTGTCCTCTGGTAGGACCACATGCTTACATTCCAAGGCCCTGATCCTGGACTGTGATGCAAACAAGCAGACTTCTGCATCTGTGGGGAGGCATATTGACAATGGGGCTCCATGCAGTGGCAAGGTTCTGACCACATGCATCAAATTGCAGGATCAGGACCCAAAATTTAACTAACACTACCGGCTACAAAATTAGCTTGTTTTACAGACATTACTATAGGATTCCATTTCTGGGCATTACTATGTGACAGCATCTCATGCCTTTTCTTTGATGTTGCAACAGTTGAAACATTGCCTACAAAACAGACTGTGGCAAAGGGCAAAACAGCTCAGACTTTTTATTAAAATGGTATATTAGTTGAAATGGCAAGTGATCTTACCATACTTGTAACTAAACTGCTAATTAGGACAAGTCACTCAGTTCCTTTGGATTGTATTAAAAAGCACAGCTAGTGAATTAGTCAAGCAAAAAAATAACCTGGCAATGACAGATTAAATTAATGTATTTTAAAATAATAAATAGATTCTATGCAGTCTATAATCCATTCCTGGCGACCTGAGTGAAATCCTCTCTATTGAAATCAATGACAAAGCTCCCATTGACTTAAAAAGAGCTAGGCTTTCACCCTCAGTATGTGGCCCATCTGTATGATACCACATAGAGTGCTGCTGATGTTGGCATTTGTGACTAAATTCCAAACTAAGTCAAGTTATGAACGCCAAGAAAGTTCCTGAGTCTGCGGCATGTATAATTTTTTACTTTATTTTTTTTTTTTACTACCCACCAATTATGATTTCTATGTATTGTGTGTATGTTGGCACTGAATCTTACTCTGTAATTTGAGCATTCTTAGTACAGTATTTGAATGAGCAGCCTAATGCAAACTTGCCATTGGCTCTTAGGAGCTGAAGGTTGTCATATACTGGTACATCATTCAAAGGATAATTTTCCCTAGGCTTTCAATAAGAGCTCAGACTTGAATTATGACCACATCACCGTTATTTGGGCATTCTTAAACATATCCATCCCTCAGATACTATTTATGACAAGTGACAGTACTATGCTGACTTCTCTCTCTTTTGGTTTTGTTAAGGGAAGGAATGCTATGACTTTTATACTGTTTTTATAAATTTCTTGTGCTTTGTTTATGGTTGTTGTGATATTTTTAAAATCAAAAGGAGAAATATAGGAGATGAAAAGTGTTAGCTAATGAATTATTCCCACTGAATTAACAAACAGAGTCCTTTGACTGACACTAGTGCACACTGTTTAAACTAAGTCTTCTGATTTATCACATTCAAATACCACATAAATCACATACTGGATTTTTATGATTTACTCACTCAAAATAGATTTTGAGAATGTCCTTTATACTGTGCTGGGAAAATTCCATTTGCAGTGGGCAATAAACTTTAGTGCACATGAATCTTTAAAATCCTCTTGATTTCTCCCGAATATACATGGTAGCAATAACAAAAAAAGTACTGCAAAAAGCATTTGTAGAAACCAAGCATTATGTTTCTCTCTCTGCTTTTGGTAGTCACAATCCTATAGGATTCCTAACTATACTTCTAAATTCACATCACAAATATCTGATGTACTGATTTTTCTATTAAACTTCTCCTACCTTGTTTGGTATTTCTTAGGACTACTTGCTGTTCTTACTCAGTGTGATTTCAGTTGCTGGAGAGGTATTGCTGTGTGTTTGTCTTAAAATATGAAGCCGTTTCAGAGAGATTCCCCTACTCCTGCCCCCGGTCTTTCTGCTAAGTGACTACTTTACTCCCTCTAAAGACATCATGCAAAGAGGAACAGAGGGCATATATCCCACAACTTTTCAGAACCGTGTCTGGAGCACCTTCAGCATTGATATCCTCTCTAAAACCAGGGCTAGAGAAAGGTGGCCTATCTCTCCAGATCAAACAAACAAGTACCCTCTCTCCCACTCAATTGCTTCTTTCTTATGTGTCACTCCCCACCTCACCTTTGCTGGAAAAGGCACCAGTCCTACAATTACTTATGCAGAGGACTAACTTCACTCATGTGAGTATTCCCATTGTGTTCTGATCATGCTGGTACTATTTGCAGTTACTGGGACAGATGGATCTAGGCTCCCCACTCCACCTAGAGGGAAGAGCTGCTCTACCCAGATCACAAGTGAGTACTGGGGACAACAAATAAAAAAAACAGGGATGGGAGCAAAGGTTAAAGGTTAAAAATCAGGAATTCAGAGGGGGACACTGAGCAGAGAACCCAAAACAGCACCTACTGCTGCTCAAAGGTGTTTATGGAGTT